CACACACACACACACACACACACACACACACACACACACACACACACACACACACACACACACACACACAGAGGTGGAGGGTGACCACGAAGCAGCCCGTTTTGTGGCATGATATCCCTTTCAGTTTAAGAAGTCAGTGTCCTTAGAAATCACAAGCTGAGATTCAGTTTTGGAATTTAGAATTCAGTGGTTTTCACGTAAGATATTCACACAATAGAGGTTAATAGGTTACTTCAAATTAGCAGTCTTTGGAAGATATCACTGATTTTGTTGAATTTAGGTGGATTTTCCAAGTTTTTAAGAAGAGCACCTGTAGCCAGGTTCATATTCCAGGAAGTCATTTCAATTTAGACCTAATTTGCTCCTAATAGTTTGAGTATTCTTATGTATTTGTTCATATTGTAATACCTCTGGTTAAGGAAGGAGAGAGCCCGAGTCGTTGTCTTACTTTCAGTGTTTTATTCAACCACAATATGGGTCCCTAAACACGAGCTGCTGTCACAGCCACAACTCACGCTGATACTCCTGATAACACTCCCGTTATAACTCTCTGCTCTATTTAACTTCCTCACATACACAACTCCCCTGTCTCTTCCACCCCTTAACTCCACCCACTGCTGAACCTGCAGATTAGCCAATCAACATTTGGCACGGATACACAGAACATAAACACAGATACAGCAGAACATTATGCACAGTTATTACACCACCCCCCCCTTTATGAAGCCCCTCGCCCACGAGGGGTCATTAAAAAAAATCCCTAAACCTTGGCGGTCTTTGCCTCAGCCTCTTTGGCCTGCTCGGGCCCAACTCACACCCATCTCCAGGCGTCAGCGGCAACTGGACAGAGGTAACAGGGATGGGGTTCGGGGAACTTGGCCCCAGTGAACATCCTGAGCTGGCTGGTGGGGTGGGCTCTGAACAAAGGAACAGCCCTCCCCCTGTATGGTGCCAACCTGTCCCGGTGTAGGGCAACTCTCCTGTCTCTAGGAGGAACTCGCACTCTGGAAACGACCTCCCCCACTCGCTCAAGGTCCCTACATGGCCCGTCCCAACGACTTTCTAACTTCGGGCAACGTCCCTTCTTCCGTTTGGGTGTGTATACCCAAACCAACTCACCAGGCTGGATGTCCCGCCCCTTACTCTGCATATCATGATTTCTCTTTTGCCTCATACCAGCCTTCTCTAGTTGTTCTCGGGCATATGCATGTGCCGCCTCCATTCGATCCTGCAGCTTCCGGGCGTACTCTGGTCCCGGAGGGTCCTCAGCACCATCTGGTGGCTTTCCAAGCCTTCTGATGGTTTTAGTGCTGCCAAAGTGTCCTGAGCTGGTGCCCCCATGACATGCCCCCATTACGACTTCTCTGAGGACTTTGGGCACCACCACTTGCCACCTCTCTTCCCTGGTGGCTGGCTCCTTCCATGCATGCTGCAGCACCCCATCCATCATGTGCAGCACATTGTACTTACTCCACAGGCCCTTTGTAGCAACCGACAGACCCATCGCGCTTCCTCAGGGTTGTCTCCCTCCACTCTGGACCCACTGATGCACTGCGTCAGTGAGTCCAGCGGGAAATCCCAGCAGGTTTTTTTTTTAATATTTGTATATATAGTTGTAGAGAAGGCTGTTTCAGGAAGGCAGAAGGCAGGAATTTCAATCTGATTTCCGTGCACGTTATAGCACTGACACTGCACTCTTGAAAGTAATTAATGACCTTTTCATTACAGATAATGATTTTGATTGTTTGATTTAATTTTTTAAAATTTAAGTTCAGCATTTGACACGGTGGATCACTCTATCCTATTGGATCACCTTGGAAAGTGGGTTGGCATTAGAGACATTGGGCTAGACTTTAAATCCTATATATAAAACTTAATGCCTCCTCTTCAGTGGCCCCTCTGACGTGGGGTGTCCGCCAAGGCTCTGTCCTCGGCCCTTGATTGTTATAGTTTATACATGCTACCACTGGGACATATCATTAAGAAACACAAAATCCACTATCACTGCTATGCAGATGACACTTATTTACGTCCCATTAAAAACCAGCTAAGTAGGCAATTTTAACCATCTTCTGAAATAATGTGCTGGATGGCCAAACACTCTTTACAGCTAAATGAAAACAAATCAGAAATAATTACCTTCCTGAAATCCATCCCTATTCAACAAAATCATCTGGGACCCTGTCATCAAATATCATAACTGCTGCCTGATATCTGGGTGTGATATTTGACAGTGACGTCACATTTGACAAACAAATCACTATGTTGTGCAGTCATGTTTTTATCAGCTGAAATAATTTTAAATATCCATTCTTTTTTCTCTCAGCCTGATCTTGAGAAGGCCATCCATGCTTTTTTTTCATCTGGTTTAGATTATTGTAAATCATTGTATTGAGGGTTAAGCCAAAACATCGCCCTCAGCTAGAACAAAATGCAGCTGCTTGCATTTAAAGAAACACCAGAAGAAAAGATCATATCTACCCCATTTTAGCCTAATTTCACTGGTTACCAATCAGTTTTAGAATTGATTGTAGGATTTAATGAATTACCTTTAAAACACTTGATAGCTCAGCTCCCTGGTACATTGCGGATTTGCTGCTACCCGGTGAGCTAGAACACAGCCTCAGATTCCCAGTCCGGGCTTTGCTGGCTGTTCCTAAGTCCTGACTCTGGACTTAAGGTGATCAGGCTTTTGCTGTCAGGGCCCCTAAGCTCTGGAACACACTGCCCGAGAAGCTGAGACTTGCAGAACAAGTGACATCCTTTAAAACACTTTTTAAAACATATCTCCTTTTATTCTTCTTTGTTTCTTATCTGTTGGTACTGTTATGATTTCTTTAATTTTATTCTCTGTATTGTTTTAATTGCTTGAATGATTGTCCTTAGTCCTGTAATGTCCTAATCTTTGTTTATTCATATAAAGCACTTTGTTACTTTGTTTTGAAAAGGGCTGCATCAATAATATGTTTATTATTAGTATTGGGACTCATCTGTAATGGCAATGAAACATTCTACAGATGCTGGTGAGGCACTTTCTACTGATCTCAGATTGGATCTCACCACCCCCATCTATACAAACAAAGTTGTACATCATTTCTGTTCATGAAGACCAAGTTATGTTGTTTTCACCCATTCTGAGTACACAAGTGTGTCTTATGTGTGTGTTTGTGTGTGTCTGTGTCGGCACGAGCTAGCAAAAGAGAGCTAGAAAGATGAGTCAGAATGAATCTCGTGCAGCTGCAGTTTGCAGATCACAAAAAAATTGTGTTTGAATCATGGTGGAACTGCAATGGGTCCAAGGACTTCAGCTCAGTAGGAGGTCCTTCATTTGTGGTTCAGGAAGAATTTGCGTTCACTCTTCCTCCGAACGTGGTCTGGACCGATCAGTTCTATATGTGATATGAGTGCGTTCACACCTGTACTTAGAGCTGTCCACTCGAGATTGGATCACGAAAAACTCATTGTTACAATTTTCTGCGACCCCAGAGCAGAGCAAACCCCTGACCACCAAACAGTTCTTCAAACTTAAGGGTTTTATAGTCCGACGGTTTGAGGATGAGATGAGGAAGTGGACAGCGTATGATATGCTTGGACAATCGTATCAGCGAGGGGGGAAGGCAGGAGAACCGGAAAGTGAATCCTGGAGGCACAAGCAGATAACATAGTGAGAAAAAAGGAACTAATGACACAGGGAATTACTCTGAATACACAATACAGAGAACGAGAGACTACCCCTGTAGTGAGGAAAATGATCTGGGGATGACTGGGAGGAAGACCAGCGTGGATATACTGCTGGTACTGACAGAATGAGCTGCAGGTGTGGTTGTGAGCTGATCCTGGTCGCGCCTATACTGAGCCATTTGGATGAACACACATATGGGGGGGAGAGGAGACACAACAACGAAAAAGATAAAACACAGGGTAAAGGGTTCAGGGTAAAGGTCACAGTGACCTTATATGAATCTGGAACCAAAACTTGCGTAGATGGAAACTGCACTGCGTGACGAAGGCATACAGCAGCAGTGCGGTATTTGTAGATTGTTTTGGGTTTTTGGTGAAAAAAGTAACTAATTAAATTAACACAAAACCCTCACAATAACTGTAAAACTTTGCAGGAATCTTGAAATGGTGGTTGCCAGTGGAGCTGAATCTGTCAGCAAGTTGTCTGGTCCCATATCTCCACTGATAATGCATGAACCCAGGACAACAAAGATCTCAGAATTCCCGCTGACACTGCTTCAGACACATCCCAGGTGTGAAGTGCACCCAGATCTGCACAAAATAATACAGGTATTTTCTGCAGTCTCCACTCCACTCTTAAATTCATATCATTTTAGTTGTAGACTCAGTTACTAGTAGGTTAATTATTTCAAATTACAATGTTAAACATATATTAAAATGTGAAATAAATCATTTGACAGGATAAATTCATGGAGATTGTGTCTCAGTATTTCAAAACTGTGCCATCCAATCCGCACTACTTCTTCTACTGCCCGCCTTCATCAAAGAAAGAGGTGAGTTGACACATTGCATTTGCACTTTCCAATTTGGTTTTATGTTGAGCAGACTGAATTTGCTTTGGTTTCTTTTGGTTGCTGATGATGAAAAAAATTCAGATATTGTATAGAAACACATAATTTTGTATTTACATTGACTGGAGAAAAAAGTTAAATAAAACAACAAAACAACATTGTATTGTGTTAATCTTGAACCAATCAAAAATCGTGATGAACATGTATGAGAATTATAGGAAAATTTATCAAAATCACATCTGTCAGCTCTGGCATGGAAAGACAAACCACTCTAATTTCCCCACATGAATGTTGCTGTTGAATTTGACTGGATAAATTGTCTTCTCAGGAGGACTCAGTGGATGATGAGATAGAGAGAACAACAGGTGAGGAGATGACTTCAGAAGCTGAGCTGGCTACAGAGGACGGTGAGGATCTGCTTTTATATTTTCATTCTATCATTTTTATTTAATTTTATCATTGTGAAATTTTATCTGATTAAATATATTATATAAGGCATTTGCCCAGGAAATAACTGCATGGTTTATGTGACTTGTTCTTAATGGTAAGAAAAATCTGTTTGTACTTTTGGCAGTTCCAAATAGTTTCATAATAGTTCTTTGCCAATAACATATGGTCTTCTAATACACAGATCACAAACAATATAATTTCAAGACTTTAAATGCAAGATAATGTGTGAGATTACCATATGATTCCACCACATCAATTGCAGCTCAGGACATCTGTCAACTATATTGTTTAATTCACTGTAAAACAAAGGCAGTTTAAATGTTGATGCACACTTACAATGAATGCTTCACAGAGCAATAACTAAATACATTTAACTACAGACAATGCCAGTGTTAAATCTTCCTGTTTTAAGATTGTATTACCTCTGTGAAAGAAGCAGGATGGTCCAGATGAATGTAATTAGATATAGACATGCACACTGAACCTTTAAGTGTCAAGGCTAACTGCATCATGGTGACTGTCAATGTGATAAAAAGGAATGCATTCCGAATAATGGACAAATTATTGTTCAATTTAACGACTAACTTTGGTGCACTGGACTACTCTGATTTGAATTGCATTGATCTATAGATTTGAATCATAATGTTTTCACCTGGTTGAAAATTATGCAAATGATTCTCACCTGGTAATGATAAAGCATGTGTCAGAAAATAGGTGTTACATTTAATCCTGCTTTTATTCTCGCAATTGTGTTAAATCTTCTACTGGCTTGTGTATCATCACCGCATCTAAAGGTAAGTGGAGACAAGCCTGTAGTATTATTAGAATTTGCTTTGACGGTGATGCTTTAAGCCAATTTATTTGCCTAGACTGAAACTTTCTTGTAATTTATCTCAGATATGTTTTGTTTGTTCATCCTACTTGTCCTGAACAGAAAATGTGGTATGTGACTTGTCCATTTAATTCCCTGTGCTGCTACTAGTTGCTTTGTCACTCAAGAAATACATTTCGATCAATGCCTAATAAAATTATACATCTTGGGAATAAGCACTTAAAGCTTCTCTCCACTTTAAAAAATGATCAACAACAACCAACAGATATTAATAATCTCTAACATTTGGCATATGAGTATAATCAATCATTTGTAGTCATTGGAAAGCACTGTCAGGTATTTACCAGAAACAATACATCACAGTTAAAAGTTACTTACAAGTTTTTTTAAAGAACAGTCTTCTTGTATGAACAGAAGATCCAGGGAGGAAATAGGTTTGAATGGTATTCAGTAAAACATCACTGCATTGTAGCATCCTTAATATGTTTGATAGACTGTTTCCCTTTGCTGGCCCTATTCTCAATGAAGTTGTTTGAGATAGCAACACTGCTGCAAATAGTTCTTCTAAAGTTGAGATGCTGAATGTTAATTCGCAAATTCTGTTTTGTAAAATTTTGCTAAAACCATGTGGAAAAAACAGTACAAGACACACTCAATAACTTCTTGTTGATTCTTTTACACTGTTATGTTTATTGATGTATTTACTGTGTCATATTAAAATGACTGTTGTAATAGCTGGATGGTCTTATTTTAATGCTACATTAAGATATAATCAATAAACAGATTACAAAGTGAATAGGCTTATTGTGTTTCAGTGTTGCCCAGCAGAGCACAGCATTGTTGCTGATTTTCACAAGGTGATAGCTCCTACAGCTGAGATTAGACAATTGATTGGTTTTCATTTTGCCATCAAAAGGGGCAGAGAGAAAGGTCACTCCCACTACCTAGGTCCAATTTTTTGTGCTTCACTTTATTTCTACGTTTGATTTGTTTTAATTTTGATGTTTCAAAACTTCAAAATCTGCTTGTGTTGTATTGATATGGTAATGACCTGTTTATTGTGTGTGTAGAAAATATACCAGGCTTTGCCACAGAGAGTGACGCAGATTTGGTGGTGGAGTATGAGCTGCATTCAGGAACAAGCTCCTGTGGAGAGAGTGAAGATCGGTCCCTGTCAGACTCGAACACTGTCAATCAGGACCAGGACTCCTTCAGCATCCTGGAGGGAGACTACCTGCTGCAGCCTGAGGGGCCACAGCTGGACATACCACCACTGTTTCTTCATATCACATGTTCCGTTAATATGAAAAGCTGCCATGGCTCTATGCCCATACAGACACTGCCTACCTGCCTTGGTGAGTACAGCCTTGGTTTTCTCTTCACTATTTATATTATACCAATCATAAAATGACTATGAGAGGTCTGGTTAAGATATCTGGGTTCCTTCTCTATGAATGGATGATTGTTTTGTTAAAAAGTTGAATTTTGGCCACTGAGACACTTTTATTGTATTGCTGAGTCCAGTTGTGTGGTTGCAGGTGAGATTATTTCTTGCCTCGAGAATGCTGTGGATTTACAGTCTGTGGATTTGAATGAGCTCTCGGTCACGTTAGATATTTTTGTCCTGACATTACCTCTGGAGATGGATGTTATGGCTGATTTCCATCACAACAGGTCAGTCACACACAAAAGAGGATTGTAAAAGGTGTTCTGACACAATTTGTTTGATCTCTGTTTGTTAATGTGGATTATTCTGTGTTGTTGTCTGTATCCATTTTCTAAACAAAAATAAATAAATTATATATATATATATATATAAAACAATAACAATGATAATAATATAGCAACAACAATAATAATGTTAATAAGGGAAAATAAATACTTATCCAGTGGATATCCTCATCTTGTTAATTGTAATAACACTAAATAATAACCCTTACTTTTATCATGGAAATGAAATCACATGACATCATGGAGCTGAGTTGCAGAAAGGGGCAGGGGTTGTGTGAATCAGAATCTCCCCGTTGGAATTGCATGATATGAGGTGACCAGGTATCATCACAGACACTATGTCCATCTTTATGTATGATTTTAACCCAGTTAATAAATGGTTAATCCGGATTCTTAATCACATTGCACTGTGTGAGTTCCTCTTTGTAGTTATATTTGCAGGTGAGCAAGTTCTATAAAATGCATTGTGTACATCACTGAAGGCTGACAAATTGTGTTGAATGCATTTCTTATACAGTCTTCCTTAGTGCATTTATTAGCATGCTGCCATGGATCCTGGTCTGTTGCCTCAATCAGTGAAAAAGATTTTTTTAAAAATGATATTAAGAAAGTAATTGTCGAACTACTTTAATAATTCATTGTTTAATTCATTTTTCAATCAGAAATGTCGGCAATTATCAGGTTTGCATTTTGCTATAGTAAACTAAATGTCAGAATAAGCAGGAACTTGTTACTGTTACTGTGTAATATCTCATCATGCACAGTAACAGGTGCACTCCCTGGTCCTAAACGTCTTCAGTTATTAAAAAGAATTACAATATAGCTCAGCTCTATAAATGTCTTCCTCAGCATACATCATGTCAGCTCTCTTCTTTGTGTGCAGGTACACCTCAGAAAGCAGTGTATCCCTCAATCGTTCACCAGGACAGCCCTCCTCTTACCGCTCTGATGAGGAGCTGATGGCAGTGTTGGACAGTCTCAGGGGGGCTGGTATTGATGGGTGAGTTTGTTCTTCAGGACAATACCAAGCGGTACTTTCTCTAATTTGCAAATTGAGTTTGATTTTGTCAATTAACAGAGGTTTCTGTTTTTATACCAACAGGGTCTCTGGTGATCCCTTATCCAAACTCCCAGGTGCTCACAAGTTAGCAATTCTGGCCACAGTGGATCAGGTGAGTCTCACTATTAGTGTGAGCTATAAAATAAGTAACACAGTAATAATTAATATAAAATCAGCAGTGGACATCTTCACATATGAGCTTTACCCAGTAGGTGATTTGAAAATAAAAAAACGGGGGTGCCATCCCTTTAACCAAAATGACCAAAAACACATCCCCTTGAAAACCCTCTGCCAAGATAAATCTTTTCCATACTGGTGACCATCCGTAAATATTTTAGAGTACAGTACAGTATAGTGCCCAGGAGGTGAACTAGCACCTCTCCAACTTCCGTCCATGCTGGACTTGAACCGGTTCCCAAGCCAAGTCGCTATGGACTGCGCTACTGCCTCCTGCTATTGTTATATCTAGATGGAGGGGGGTCCTCTTTATGGAGGCCACCATGTTTTTTACATAAGTCCAGACTGGACAAACTAAACAACTTTTGAGTTTTTATGACGACTGAAGGTTACCACAGTTTCTTTTTCATGTTTGGAAGGAGAAGGTGAGGTGAGGGTTGTTCAGCTACTAAAGGTTTGTGTGTGTCAAAATGTGTAAAAACACCCACAAAAAAACATACAAGCTGATCTACTAATGGTTAACACTGAGGATCGCGTGTAGAATAACACACGTTGTCCACTTAGTCTATTGCCTTAAGGAATATGCGATATCAGGACTTTTTCTACCCAAGTGTGCAAAATATTGGTAGGGTAGATGCAAATAATTTAATTTGGCGCTTGTCTCCAGTGCGTTCCTCTCTTCTGGTGTGCTCTCCTCCCTCTCCATCCCCCAGCTGCTCTGTTGTGGGAGTGCTTGTATTGAGAGACCTCTCCACTGCCTGCCATTGTGAGACCAGAAACAGCACAGACCAGCTGCCTGGTGTGCGCTACAATGGCATAATATTGTGCTTGAGCGCTCATGCCATAGAAGTGCACCTGTAGAGGAGAAGGCGACATTACTAGCAAAACAATGGCATGTAATTGTACTGTTATGTGTACGTTACAATAATAGGAAAATTCCTTTGCTGTAGCTCATGTCTGTTTGCCTCTTAAACCTCCAATTCCATGACATTACATTTTTCTTTGCGCTTGCAGTCACACTGCTCTTATTAGCCCAAGAACAAATTGCACGAAGTGCTGCGGAGCGTCAATTCTCATACGAGCAGCCGCCTGGCTGTTCACACCAGAAGCGCATTTCTCTGTGCCAGTCAGCCTGCTTCTTCTGCTAGAAGTATATAAGGGTTTGGGGGTAAATGATGATGGTCTTCACAAGTGACTTTCCTATGCAAGCCTGAAACTTCAGGAGAAGAGAAGGAAAATCAAAAGTATCCGATGCATATTTGATCATTAATATCATATACTTTATAATATATCACTGATATCATTTAAAATCGATTTTCAGTGTGTTTTCTGGCCCGATTCGCTCGCGTTAAGCCGGAAAAAATAGAACAGGAGGCGTCCACTGTGCTTCAGGGCGCTTGGCTACTGATGTGAACAGTCCAATAGATTAACATGGGCACGGAAAGGGGGCAGACAGCATTTCTTGGCACATTGAAGCGCTTCTGCTTCCAGTGTGTCCCTGGCGTAATGCTCCATGGTGGAAACCATTAATGCAGGCAAAACACTCATTTAAATACTACTGCCTCTACCATGTTTGTATCTGTTCTCATTTATGCAGTTATTTTTAGAAGATCACCTACAAAACGCCCACCAACCAAACGTGCAATCTGCTATAATGCACACGCAATTTACGACTTTTTATTTGGTATCTTAGTGGATCAGGCCCCATGTGTGCAAATTATGTTACCTAATGGGATAAACAGTTATGGACCTTCAGAACTTTGTTATTGATTATTATGATAGATTAAGAAGTAAATTTAAGTTTCATTTTAAGTTTCAATTCAGTACACTAATGCTAATATTCAATATAACAACTTTCCACAATTCATCTGAAAATATGCAAAAATTAAGAAACACCACATATGATGCACAAATAGTTATAATGCACAACACCAAATACTTTTTCATTTAAACCTTTCCTTAGGCAGCGTAGTTAATGCCGATAAGCCTTAAAGGTCCAGTGTATAAGATTCAGGTGAAAATGATTTTTGGCAGAAATTAAATATAAAATAATCCTAGTGATGTTTTTGCTGGTGTGTTTCATCTAAATTGTATGAATTGTTGTTTTCTTTACCATAGAATGGGCTCTTCTCTTCTATATCTAAAAACTTCCTCTCTGTGGAGGCTGCCATGTTTTTTACTGTCATCCAAACTGGACAAACTAAAACCTTTTGAGTTTTCATGACAACTGAATTTCACCACAGGTTCTCTGTCATGTTGGGAAGGTGAGGTGAGGAGTATTCAGCTGCAACATGCAACCTTACCTCTAGATATCACTAAATTCTACACACTGAACGGCCAAAATCAAAGTCAATTGGATGAAAGAGTGTTGTGTGTGAGTGCTGGGCCAAGTGTATGCGTGTATCAAGGGAAATTTGAATGTGGGTGAAGGGTATAGCATCATTATTCTACCACACTGGCAGTATGTTGATCATAAATGGGATCCTTGGGTTTTAGCTCATGGGTTAGCTTACCCTTGTTTTATCCTCTTTCACTAATCTCAAGTCAATAATCCTCCAATTCTCCAATGAATATTCAGGAAGTCAGGGTTTTCAGCCAACTTGATGGATATTGGCAGCTGCTCTTCTTAACATGGATATTTCAATCAGCTGACTGAGAGAGAGAGACTGACTTGTTTTTCTGTCACTTATGAACAGAACATCTCAGGAACAGCTTGAGGGAGTTTCTTTTAATTTGGCACAAACATCTACTCAAAGATGAGCAACAAGCTACATACACTATATTATGAGTTGGGATAGACTTGGATGTAAAGCCATTTGACAATTGCAGTGCAGTAATTCATAGTTTTTGGTCAATGACCAAGGGGCAAACTTTACATGCATAGCCCATCAGTTAGTAAGGCTCTAAGAATATAAAAAAAACACTTTGTGTGAATATTGTCTATTACAGCCTTTAGGAGCTACTAGAATGCCTTGTGCTTTTTGTCTTGTGGATATTGGAAAAGTGTGCCATCCATACTTTTGCTTTCAGTATACACACATGATGATCTTATCTTGATTTTGCTGTGCATCTGTTTAGATCCATTGGCTATTGGAGGATGAGATTGTTTCTGCTCTACGTCACAAACGGTTCATCAGCTCGGCCACGCTACAGAAAGTATCACAACATGTTATGCGGTCCAGTGGCCGACAACACTGTCACTGTGAAGATGTCCCACTTCAGTTTGTCTTTGGGCCTGAGCAGTCCCTGGAAAAATTCAAAGAGGCAAGGACATGCATACACACACACACACACACAGAAGCACACAGAAGCACACAGACAGAGAGAAACAATACACAAAACTGAAATTTGGTTTTGATACAGCAAGAAATATAATTTTATATTTATTTTAAATTACAGCTTAATCAGTCACAATTCATATTGCATAATGTATGGTGTACATAAAAACTCAAATGTCCAAATATAATTCTTCCTATAATTATAATTCTTCTTCAAAGGCACCCTTTGAACCATTCAAACTACTTGTATTAAATAGTTGTGGAAAACACCATTGCACCCTTCCATTCCTGGTAGACTTTCCCTGTGAAAAATCAAAAGGTGTTCAATGTCATTGAGTGGCGAGTGTGACATTTCTTTCGTGCTGATAGAACATATTTTGACCCCGAGTAACAGTTTAGTGCTTGTATTAGCGCACAGAGGACTGTATCAGTGCTTCAATACATACAGAAGATGCTAAATTGTGATGTGTGATTGGATAACGTCTGATTCTGCAGGAGTTCCATAGAATGTCATTCTCTGGCTATGTCCTGAATGGACAACAGGACAACTTCTACTACATGTCCCTGAGCAGACTGCACCCACAAAGGATCCATGCTACCAAGAGTCTCTCAGAGAGAACTGCAGACCCTCCACCACATAGTGCTGGAGCAAAGGTGGAGGACATGATGCTGGGGAGTGAAGCAGAGGCTCAGGCAGCAGAGTCAGACGGAGAGGTCAGATATGTTATTTTTAACAGTGATATCTGTCTTTACTACTTTTGGTTAAAAGATCTCCTTTAAGCAAACTGACATCAGCAAAGCGTTTCCACTAGCTACTGGTAACTGTTTCCAAATGTCTCTGCCTGATTCTGACTTACTGAGACATTTCCTTCTGACTTACCCTGTTTTCTAACCTGTGAACCTTGCAGTGTGCTGCTTTTGGACCTGTGTCACTAGATTTGCTACATGCTAGCAACACATTTATTCACCTCTTACTCTTTTTGTTAAAATAGAAAACTGTTTGTCTTTGGAAACTATTTTTGTAAAAGTAAGCTTCTGATTACTGATGCATTGAATGCAACATATGATGTGAAAAATCTAGTTGACCCCTGAGCTAAATCAGTCGGATTCTGAGATATCTCAGCTTGATCAATTGAGTTAATTTTATCAATTTTGTGAGATGAAACACCTGCCTAACTTAAGACATATATTATCTTTGCTGTGTGATCATGTCTCGATTATCTTCTGAACTTTAAAGTTGCAAGTCATTCAAGGGGTAAATGTTAAATGGACTGTTTATAGCGATTTTCTAGTGTTATTGACCACTCAAAGGGCTTTACAGTATCAATCAATCAAATTTTATTTCTATAGCCCATATTCACAAATCACAATTTGTCTTATAGGGCTTTAACAAGGTGTGAAATCCTCTGCCCTTAACCCTCAATCAGTACAAGTCACATCCACATTATGCTACAATTTGTTACACATTTTTTTATCACACACCATTCACACATTTTGTGGTTCATTATCTTGCTAATGGACACTTCATACTGCAAACAGAAGGAGCAGGGTTGAACTTTAATAAGTTGCTGCAGCTCTCTGCACCCCAGACCCTCCCACTTTTATTTACGGCAAATAGATATTGATTTATGTTTTTTACACTCAATGCCGCCTTAGATACATCTGCTGTCACTGACTTACTCCTGCCGCAGCAAATTCAGTATTTCTTTACAAAAACACCCTTTCACAAGGCATTCACTCAAAGAAAAAAACTGGGCTTGGTCCGAACCGACCAGATTTACAAATTTAGCCCCCAGCAAGTGATGAGGATGAGCATACACCCAAGGCTTCTCCAGCTCTTGTTTTGAGAAACATGAGTTGGCTGTGGTGTAAGTAATGCCTTATTTTGCTTCCACTGTTTGCTGTTTCAAAGTGGCGGCACTGAGGTACTGTGGAGGTACCGTTGACAACGATGGGGGGTGCAAGACTGCCGAGGTAGATCGCCAGAGAACCTCAAGGTGAACCAGGGAGAGTTGATTAGCACAGCTGAGGTTAGTTGGCCAATTAACTCTCCCTGCCACAGGAGGAGAAACTTCATGAGAGAAAGAGACTGAAGAGACTGGACATAACAGACCTGAGCTGCCACAATGATCAGTGAAAACAGCTTAAACTTTTGTTTAATTATTTGAAATTATGTTCGTGCCCAAAATAAATATGCTGAAAAGTGAATGGTTTGTCTCTGGCTGTTGTTGGGAAACCCCCAGGGGCAACGTCCCTTGCCACAGAGACCTCAACATTTCTCTGAAAAATACAAACTGCATGAAAGTTGCCACAGATATTTAGACAATACAATGAGGCTACATTTTTTCGGCAGGCTTAGCATTGCTCAGCAGTTCGATGAAGGCTACAGGATTGGCATATTGTATGTTGTGTTGTGGCTTCAGTTTGTTGGACCTCCCACCCAATTAATTTTATCCCCAGCAGCCACTGATCCTTGTATGTAGTTGAAAAAACCTTATGGTAAATGGTCTATATCTATATAGTGCTTTTCTTGTCCAGATGACCACTCAAACAGCAGCACTTTCTCTATGAAAAGGGGTAACTTGGGGTTCAGTATCTTGTCAAAAGACACTTAGACGTGGAATGGGGAACACTGGAATGAAACTGCTGACCTGCTGTTGAGAGGATGACTGCCCTACCCCTTAATGTCCTTTGTTAATATTTATTTTCTCTGGACCTCTATCCCACTGCAGAGTGAAGTCAAGAAAACTGTCAGTGTTGCTACTGAAACTCCCAGTGACACAACTGCTGAGGCTTGTGAGCTAATCAGAACCTCGAACGTTGAAGAAGATCATCCTGCTTATCAGAGCTCAGTTTATATTGTGCGAGGCCGAGGGCCGCCCAGTGCCCCCCAGCTCCAAGCCTATAACTGTACAGAGCAGACCTCACCTGCCAAGATGCCATCAAGTGTCAGCCTGGCTGAGTCCATGCAGCCAGCCTCTCACAGTAAGTCTAAACAGGTGCATCTTAGAACTATGCACTTTTGTTAAAAACCCACATTTGTATTATATTTCCTGAGGTATTTAAATGGGCTGTATGTCAGTTATTGCTATGGCCGTAGATTTGTCACAGCATCAAAATTCATTCCTTTACTTACTTTGTGGTTATGTCTAACCATAATAACTCTGACACGTAATGTTTTGCTACAAGGGAAATAAGTGTTCTAATGCCTGTAGCAACTTTAGTAGCGACTTTGATTATTAGTTGAAATGATAACTTGAGTCAATTAATTGTAGAGTTGAGCAAAGACAAATTGATCAACAACAATTTTGATAATTTGTCTAAATACAGAAAAAATGTCACTGCTAACCTGGTATCAGACCAGTGTGTAAGATTTAGCTGAAGGGGTTTGTTTCATCTAAATTGTATGAATTGTAGTTTTCTTTACCTTAGAAAAGGCCCTTTATATTTAAATACTTAATATACATCCAGGGGGTCCTCTCTACGGAGGCCGCCATGTTTTTTTTTTACAATAGTCCAGACTGGACAAACTAAACACCTTTTGAGTTTTTATGACAACTGAAGGCTGCCACGGGTTCTTTTTCATGTTTGGACGGAAAGGGTGAGGTGAGCAGGTCAGCTGCAACATGCAATTTCAACACTAGATATCACAAAATTCTAAACACTGTACCTTTAAGCATGGTACTGGACTGAATATCAAAATCAAATTTTAAAATGAGTTCAGATCTGAGTGTGTAGATGATCTTTTCATTGACTTGATGAATGATTCATTGTCATTTAAATTTTAAAGTCATTCGTGAAGCAACAAAATACAAAATAGGATTTGCTGCTCTTTGGGTACTGAACATTTTAAGATTCAGTAGACATTTTTAAATGAGCTGGTTATCTATTTGTGACAGGTAGGAGCAAGACTCAGAGGCTGTGTATATGTGTCTGCTCTTTTTCAGCTTGTGATCCTACTGACAGAAAATCTGACAGAAATGTTAAACTGTCTTTCCTCAGGCTGCAGCAAACTCAGGCCGAGTCGAGTCCAGAGTGTCGTCTCCAGTCAGGGCAGTTTGGACTCAGACATGCAAGGTAAGTGCTGGACAAAGGTTAGTGATGAATGATCATTTTTGAAGAATGAGGTAGTTGTGACAAGTTTGTCAAATTTTGTCACTCATCTTCACTAAATTGTTAGACAGATGCCGTTACAACTCATAGTTACTCTGACCAATCTCTCTTTGTAAGAGCACTTAAGATGGCTGTCATGGAATCAAGCTGTAGGAATGTATCATTATTTCTTTAGTTCATACCAATTTAAATCCAAAGTCATTCAACTGTTTTACAACTTGAAATGAGCAGCTCAGCTTGAGCACCATGCAGCTACTGGCTCACAGATCCACAGTGAGTTCAGTCTCGTTCTGATAAATGCCCTTACTATCTTGTGAATAATGCAATTTCAAAAAATGGAAAGATGTTAAATCACCTAAAATATAGTCATGATATAGTCACAATTCCCATGATTGTGTGATAAATAATAAATATAAATAAACAAAAGAACAACTGCTTTATCTGAGTTTCTTGCCAGATTTGGGGGGTCTTAAAGCCATGTACAGCACCAAACTACTGATCAGGCTAAAAGCAAATTATCTAATACAATATATGTAATCCTAAAGTTAAGGTTCAGATATTTTAAGTACAAATCATAAAAGACAGTTTTCAATGTAGCTAGTACACAGCATTATAATGCAGTTAAATGCTGGGCAGGAAGAAAAAACTTTGAATTTTAGACAAATGATCGAATCTAATAGTGGATAAATATATTAGATCTACTCCTGTTTGTATAACAGTATCTCAGTATAAAGTGTCATTTGAATGGCTCCTCATGTGTTCTGAACCAGCCTGGAAGCTGGACTGGTGTTATGGTACTGTTAAATCTGCATGAGATAAGGCTCATTTAGTTTTAAATCACTGCAAAGTAAAACACAGGCAATCACGGCAGGCAATACAATGTCCTGGTGGAGGGTTGTGTGCACCACGTCTCTGGCAAATGCAGCACATTACCTACGTCGATCCTCATCTCCTAGGACTTGGCAGTTCACAGAAGGTTGAGCTCTGGTCTTTTGGTTGAGAAAAGTCTGACCCCCTCTACTTGCACTTATCCTGCTCAAGTGTCTCAGCGAGAAACAAGAGCACTTAATGGTGGCACCACCTGTATCGTCCTGTTTTGCACTCAGTATATATGCCAGTGTCCCCTTTTAACTGCAGATTTTACAGTTTCAGTCCTCTCTCAGGACATGAGTGCAGGTGTGATGGTTACTGGAAGGTGTCATACACAGATCATAAAAGGAAGGAAAGACCCTAGTCCTTACAGCTCTGCCCATGAGATCTAACATTTGGGCAGATCCCATTTTGTCAATGTATTTGTCCAATGTGGGCTATACAAATATAATTTCATTGATTGATATCGTAATGAGGAATACATTAGTGTATCATATGCCTACTGTGACATTTGAAATGTTTTCAATATCAAGATGAAAATAATTTGAGTGAAGTTTTCATTATGTGGTCTTTGTGTGTGTTTGAAGGTTATGATGGCGGAAGCAGTGACTCTGAGTGTGAGAGCCCCACCCTGGATGAACAGGAGTTTCAGTCACCACTGATGCCAGACTTCTGGCTGATTGTTAAGCTTCACCAGGACAGAGTTAAGGTCTACTCCCATTCCAGGTCAGACATACAGTACCTCAGCACTGTTGATTCTTGCTCAGTAACCAGTCTGTAGTCTGTGGCTCACCTTAGGGTGTAATTTCTAACTAGTTTGGCCCATTTTTGCTTTTGTAAAAAAAATTTCATCATGTTTCCCGGAAATGTTTAGCTACTATAGTTAACTTTCATCATCAATTTGCCTTTAAGATTGTGATATAATTTACTCAAAGGGGGAAAGTTTTCTCCTAGTATCAAAAATTATGAAGTAAATAGGTAATAATAATGTCCAAGTCAGACATTCAGCACTATTTCTAGGACTTATATTCACTTGCTGGTGCTTGATGATGGCTGTGATTGGATCCAATTAATTTCATAGGATTTGTCTTTCCAGATGCTTCACAGAAGGAAAAGAGGTCAGTGCTGACGAATTGGACAAAAAAGAGGAAGAGCAGGATCTGCCCGAATCCCTACAATTGCATCAAGTGGTGGTCAGGAAGATTGGTGATATCTGCAGAATAGTCAATCAGGTGGCCACTGCAGCACTCAACTGCCTGCATCACAAATTTTCTTAATTTTTTTTTGGTAGAAAATCAGACATTTTGACAAAATCAGAGAGACGGTTTAGACTTGTTAGTTGTGGTTTCAGCAGTTGCTGAACTGTAATAATCTTTCCTGTAGATCAGTGGTCGCCAACCCGTCATTCGTGATCGTTAATAAATATGACCCTCCTAAGTGAGTTTTTTGGAATATATCAGGGTGGTAGATCTCGGCTTACATTTGAAATTAAAAAGTGATCTAAGGCTTGAAAAGGTTGGTAACCACTGCTCTAGACACATAGGATTTTCCTCCCTAATGAGCTGTCATTTCATCTGTAACCTTGAATTTTTAGGTGTTTGAGTATCTTCACAGAGAGTGGAGACTTATAACGTTGTGATGTAAATGCATATGATCACAGTCCTAAACCTGAATGGGTAGTATCTTGTACAATGTTTCCTGTGCCCGCTGCTTACTCTTTGTTGTGTGTATGCTGCTGTGTAGCGTATGCTGCTGCAGGACCTTCACGACAGCCATGTGTGTAACTCTCTGCTGGTTGCTGAAAGTGAGGAAGACATCTGGAAGAATGAGTCTCTCTACAGACAGAAGCTCAACACTTCTGATGGTGAGGCAGAGGAGAATACATAGTTTTGCTTTTATCTGTCAGGTTTTTCAGATTTCTCTCTCATGAAAGGAAAACAATCTCATAATTGCTACTCTGTCAGGGAACATTTATGTACTCTTATGCTTCCATGCTTTCTTTCTTTTTTGACTACATAGATTACAACACAGAGGAGAGCTTCCAGGCCAGAGACTACTTGGCAGCCACCATGCAGTTCATCCCAGGACATTTTGCCTGTGATGTGGTGTGGAGCACAATCATTCACATTCATCCACGTCTCAAGATGGGGCCTAATATGGGGGTGTCCAGGGGTGAGTGGTAGTTCTAAGATGGATCTCTTTTTTTATTCAAACATATATTTCAGTTTTTTCAGTAGATGTACAAGTGTACATAAGCACCTGGAGCTGCTTGTGTTCCTTAGAGATGTTTCACCTCTCATCCCAGAGGCTTATTCAGTTCGAAATGACTAATGGGAGGTTTTGAACTCCCAGACATCCACAGAGGTTTAACACCTAAAACTTCCCATAAGTCAGTTAGAGCTCAGTTACCAATATCATGCCCTTTTGCAAGTTAGTGGATAGCATTTTGGAGTGTGCCTGCAATCTGAATGTGTAATTGTGTTTACATTTCAAAGTTAATATGTGCAAGCAGTATTTTCTCATGTTCTCATATTTACACTAATAAACCATTTCTCAGTTTGTCTTTTTAAGGATAGAATTTTGACCATTGCTCTATAATAGAGATGACTCCGTTCTTACTATAGACTTATTTTGCAAACATTAAACCTCTTGATATGTTTTTTGTCTTCCTGCCACAGCAATCCAGGCTCTACGGTCTGTGTTGAATTCTTTCTGTGTGGTCAACAGGAAGAACATGTTTGTCTACCAGGAGCGTTCAACCAAATCAGTCTTCTACCTTAGGTAAGCCAGAGAACTCGTTCAGACCTGGTATCAACATCTGTCCTGAAAGATCCAATCACAAGTGGTGAGCACATTTTAATGGCAAATGTGAACACATTAATTGAATTCTCTCCATTCGTGACAGGATCTCTCAGGACAGATGTTAATACCAGGTCTGAATAGGACCTTACTCAGACTGTTTTCTACACTAGATTTTTATTTTTTCTTACTCACATTAACAATTTTATTTGAGGTGTCCTTTGGGTTTATTGCTACGCAGACCATCTGTAACCAAGCAGTATAGAGATTTTTCTGTCTACTGGAACTGTCAGTTGAATGGCAATTGAGCTTGCTGCAGCAACAACACATAGCAGCTATCTGTTGTCTGTGTTGCCCTAGACATTTAAATCAGCCATTTCTGTACAAAGGTCATACATTCTTAAGAAAATGAATGGGTAGCAACTGTGTCACAATTTGACCATGTTGTTTGATTTAACATGACACAATTTTTTTATTTGCATCCTCCTACTTTTAGTTTGTTAGATATCACCAGTCTTTTATGCAGAGTTATAACACTGTTAGTTTTTGTTAAGTAATAACCAAGTACTAATGCTGTAATTAATTTAGACCTAGTTCTATTCTGCTTTGTTGTGTTATCTCTAGACTTTGTGAAACGTCGCTAACAGGAAAGTACTCTGACATGGATGGAAACCTCCACACGACCCACTCCTTTGGGCTTTTTAGGAGTCAAGAGCCCTTGTTTTCTGAGGACTTCCCAGTAAGTGAATAAATACATTATTAACCCATTGTGACTGAAAACTACAGCTTATTTTGGTAATACCTAATACTGACAAGGGAAGGTTGGTTGACAATAAAATCAAGAGTAAGAGACTTGAGACTTAAAATAATAAGCTAGGAAGACTTGATTTATGATCACTACAAATCATAGACTGTGTATATGACATGTATATAAAAGATGGACAGAGCTTCAGGCTCAAAAAGAAGAGGACTATGCGGAAGTGCTTAAAAGATCCTGGCTCAGCTGGCTCCAAACAATCTCTGGTTTCATAGACTGCCATTCAGAAAAAGGCAAGTTTCTCCAAAAAACAAAAAAATTACCATGAGTGATGGTCGCTAGATATTTACCTTCTTATCAGAGATTTGGTGGTCCACCTAAAAATAATATCTTAATTAATTAGATATTAGAGTTTAAAAAGCCATAGATTTAGTGTCTGTTAGATTGACGCAGAGACTCCCAGGTGATTGATAGGAACCAGTGGCGACATATCAGACGATAGAGAAAATCACCGGAGGAAAAGAGTAGCTTTACTTACATCGTGTCCACTCACTTCTCTCACATTTACTATGATTCTATCCAACTTGTTCCACACTGAGCAAGCATGAGCAACAGTGGGGAGGAAAAACTCCCAAGTGGAAGAAACCTCCGGCAGAACCGGGCTTGGTGTGGACGGCCTCTTCCAGGACCGGTTGGGGTGATAGAGAAAGAACAAGTAATATAGAGGAACAAAAGGAAATTAAGGGGGGGGGGGGTTGAGTCAAAGTGTCAGGTCAGGGGCTTGAATCCAGCCCGGGAATCTCCACATGGATGCGGTGGTCCCCCCGGGCTCTCCTGCCTCCCTCATGGTCAAACATGCGCAGTAGTAGGACCCATAGCTCCAGAGGTGGGAGGTCCTCATGTGTTCTGACCGGAGAAGAGGACTGTTAGCATGCTAGTTAGTGTTCCAGTGTCCATTGTAAACAGCTGGAACTGTACAACCTGAAGTTCACCTGGATTAATTGTGACTTCTATAACAAATGTTTACTGCTGTTAACACTTGAAAAGTATGTATTAAATAAACATTATTAAGTGTTTACTTAACCTCCGTTGACTACAGATAACATTTTTACCCCTTATAAATCAAACAGGACACTTTGGTGAATTAATGTTTTCATAAAATTATGTTGTCATAAGACACATAAGCAAAGTATAACTCATATCTTACTTATCAATGATTGATTTGATTAAAACCAAAATGTAAAAGGCCTGTGATAAATTTAAAAATTCCAAAACACATTCATCAAATATGGTAACGTCCGCCTCAGCCTGGCTCCAAACAATCAAGATGGCGTTGATCAAATCGTAAAACTGTTGTCTTCAAAAAGGGAGTTCACAAACCAATGGGTGACTTCACGTTAGGCAGGCACTTGATACAAATGAAAACAGTTTTAGATGGGGTGAGAATTAGGACAGGAGAATGATTTTGGTATTCACTGGCTTGAATGTATGATCACATTTGTGGGTTACACAAGGATGTGTGTAATACATGTGGTCCCGATTAAATATGAAGCAGATGGTGAACGGAATGCATTTATATAGCCCTTTCCTATTGATCACTCCAAATTGTTCACGTGTTGTTTCTCTCTTCTCAGGGATCCAGGTCTTCTGCGGAGGGATCTCGGCCAGTTGGCCAAGTAGACAAGCACATTCTGCTGCTGGTGCATGGGGTGGGAAATGCAGGTAAGAACTGATAAGGATTAAAATGTTAAAATGAAGCCAATGGTTTTAATGATAAAATGCTTGTGGGGTAGTAATAACAAATCCCAAATACCAAGGTTTTTAAAAGCAACGAGGCTGGATCTAAGACTAACTGGGAGGCAAGTGAATTGATTTTGAAGTTAAAGTAGTTAGAGTAGTAGTATTTTAGTGCAGTCCCTGTCCTAAATATGCCTGTTTTGAATGGGCCTTTTGATAATGCTGGTTGCAGCTTTCTTGTAACTGTAAAAGTGACCTACAGTAATTATGCAGGATTCATTCTGGGGAGCCCTGAAGCCACTCCACTGCTGCTACACAAAAAATTGTTCATCTGTTTATTTTAAGTTCAGTGAAGCTTGACTCACTACACAGAAGTTTGAACTTGTCCATTGTCATCAACGTGCTAATGACATGATCGACAACTTCTATACTTTTAATTTTTTAAAATTGTTTCATGCTTGACGTTTGTGCAGATATTTTTACTCAATGTATATACAATCTTCATCCTTTCTGGTTTATCTGCAGTAAAGCAATTGTGTGTCCATGATCAGTTTTTTTGAACAGATTTTATAATCTGTGTTTTTTATAAAATTGATCTGAATTGCTTTGTTACAGTTCCATGTTTGTGGTTGATGTATAAGTTAGATTAATTTACTTAACTAGAGTTATTTTTTTTACATACACTGCATTTCAGCTATTTCAGAGGGCTATTAAGCAATTGACACAATCTTAGAAAAAGAGGAAATTATTCTATGAATGTTGTTGCCAGTAGCTTGTCAGTAGTATTGATAATTGACGTATCACTTCTCCAAATCACACCAGATTTGACATTACACTTCCTTGGGCAATTGCCAATACATATGCCAAGTGTGAAGCTGATATGATGAACATTTCTCGGCATATGCTATGCATTCCTCATACAGACAGTCAGACAGATAAACATTTCTGTAGTTAGATGGATGACCTTTTGTTTGTTCCAGTTGAAACAGTTGCAGCAGCATTCTGTGGAAAGTTTACCTGATCTCTAGGCTTTTGGTGAGATCTGAAAGCAGAAGGGTACATTACAGTAGTTGTAATAGTAACAGGTGCCCCATGTGAGTGGCGCTGTGTGTCAAGGTTTGCTGCTGTAGGATGCTGTACCTCAGGTGGATGTCTTGATGGCACTGTTGTACTGGAAATATTCACCCGTCTTGGACAGGCTGGGATTATGCAAGTCGTTTCTCAAAAACTTGATTCATTGGGATCCTTACAATCACTGTAATTTGAACTTGTGTTTATTGCATCTCTATTTTTTTCATAAAAAATATTTTTTCAAATTTTTCATCTTGAGTTTTTCATAAGAGAGCTAAGTTATATATTGACTTTAGAGGAAAAACTGTGGTGAACTTACTTTTTCCCAGAGCTAAATGGTGTGTCTCAGTGGATGGGGTTTTCTCAAATACTTTTCATTTGGGTCACCTGCTTGCTGGCAGGTTTTTTTCAAGAATCTGTCTCTGCTCACTGTTTTTGTTGAACAAAATAATAATAATTAGCACATTAGAGTCTGAGAATGACACTTATTTTTTCTCCCTCTTTATATTTCCACAATGAATTAATATTTTAATTTCACAAGTTTAACTGCTGGATACAAGTTAGAGTCCTTAAAGTGACATCACAGGTGTATGTTCAATATCACTATTTGAGCACACTCAGCAATGACTTGTCAAACAGACTTTCTGTTGTCAAATTAAATTAATTAATCTGTACTCAGTTGTGACAACAAGAGCATCGCTGGAGGGGAACCTGAAATTTCCAATATTTATTGTGTAACCATTGACACATTTAATAACACAATTTGTCTTTTTAATAAACATCATCAAGGACCCATCCCAACCACGCCACCACCTTTTCACCCTCCTGACCTCTGGAATGTACTACAGGTCCATCAAGGCCTGCTCTTCCAGACTTCTGAAAACGTTGCCATCGAACAACTAAACTCTGTCAAATAACTGCTCACCACATTTAAGTTCAAGGCTTCTCATTCACATGACACTCTTCTCTGAGTTAGTGCAGTAATACTATGTAATATCTTGGTCTCAAGTGCAATACTTTTCATAGAACTAAAAAACTACGTGGTGCCTGGAAGTTTCCTGGACGCTGGTGAAAGGAGAGCTCAGACAGCTGCTGATGTCTTATGCAGAAGAGTTTAATGTAGACTTGAAGCATCAAGGAGACCAGAAGGTGGAACAATAAACAAAACACTAACAGAGTAATATGAGCAATTGTCAAGTCTGAAGATGTCTCCCAGAGCATCCCCATATATCTTCCTCTACTTGCATCACCCATTCTAAAAGCACATCCATGAATAGCTAGAATTACTGTCACTCTCTATGTTACATGAAGGTGTTTGCATCCTATTGGATACTGGTGTAATACGCAAATGAGTTGAGGTTGGTGAGAGTTGAAGTTGGTGCCTCTCTGTGTGGGGCGTCTCAGTTACATGTGAATGTCTCTATACGTAATAATAGTGGCATATACAGTGATGTGTGAGGACAGTCAAAAATTCCACAACAGTGCCCCTATTTGATGGTAAATACATTTCCAATCATTTGAGTTCATAGTGTTTGTTCTCATGCACTGACATGTAGAATGCTATGGAAAAGTTGCTGATAAGGCCATAAAGTACTGTAATGTACTGGCCAAATGTCGACATTCCAGTGACTTAAAATAAAAATTTGCTAAATCCTACGACTAGATTCCATACTCATTTTAAACCTTTGCGCAGACCTGGCTAGTTGGACTGGCTGTTCCTTTTTCTGCCACTGGAACAGTCCAAGTAGTACTTAATTTGAACTATACAGACACCTTTTGATCACTAAATGTAATCACATTCTTCCGTGTGAACTTTGCAGCAGGAAAGTGATACAAGGATTTTCTTTTCCCCTTTTTTCACTTTTTGATCAGGTCCAGAGATCACAGATGAGCTGGTCAAGGTTCTGCGGAAGCGCTTGGATGAGACCACCTTGGACATTATCACTGTCATGCTTGTCAGGAACTGCAAACTGACACCAGCTGATGTGGAGGTAAAGTGCTCTTGGTCTTTTTCTCTCTTGTGATGAAAGCATTTTTAAATTTTTCAAATGCAGTGTTTCTTTGTGTTTTGGGATTAGTTCTATTTTTTGGATATTGTATTACCAGAGTTAGTGGTTTATACCCATTTGTATGCACTCATACCACTTGAAACTGCTTTAGATAAAAGCCTTCCTCGTATTTTTTCTGCACAGTTCATCCAGCCATCAGGGTCTCCAGCCACTGAGGTGATGAACTTCAGCCTCCCTGAGTACTGTTTTCCTTGGATGACAGCTGTGGCTCACTACCTCAGGCAGAACCTCCTCATTTTCCTGCATGTTCCCAAGTACACTGACAGCAACACTGCACATCAGTTCAAGGTACAATCCCATCTGACTATTGTCAGAACATTTTAAATAATACATTTCAATATACATCTGACATATAAGTGTTCTGGGCATTTTTACTAAAGAAAAGCAACAAAGCATAATTTACTCCAAAATTATGCTTTGTTGCATATTGGGTCTTATTTTGAAGTGGAACATCACACATGCTAATTTTTTACTCACCAATGCGATTGCTGAGACCTTGGAACACTGGCATTTCTACAACAAAGTTTGGCAAAAGAAACACAGGACAGAATTTGAAAGGTTGTAAACAAACCAACAATGTAATCAAATGATTATAAACCACTTAAATTGGAGGTGAAGCAGTTAGTCAACTCTCCTGATTTGATGCTAATAATCTCTGTCTGCACAAGACAGTTGTATGGTAAACAACTAATGTAAATACGGTTTTAAAGTTAAAGCAGGACATGTTTACAATGTGACTAAACTACTGTTTAGTCACAATNATTATTTATTACATCATGATTTGAATCGGCGCATTACACTGCACAGGTCAACATCAGACTCTGCTCCTCTGATATTTCCTAATCACTCACACGTAGAACTGATCTAAATAAAAATCCTGCTGAATTCATATTTATGTTCCTGGATAAACGGGGCGTCTCTTCTTCTGCAGCAATTAAGTTCATAATCTGCATGTTTGTGTGTGTCTGCTCGTCTCTGTCCCTCACACACAAATTTATGATCACATGTATTTGGTTATTAATCGATGATGTCGGATCATGACATAATAATAACTTGTGATCAGTGATGGTGTTTGCTGTCCTGATCCTGGAGAAGTGCTGGTTATAATAATTCAGCTAAAAATATGAAGGTTTACACTGTGCATGTATCATTAAGGACCATTGTGTGTGAAATCGCTGCAGTGAATGTGACTGTGCCATCAGGCGCACAGAGCGCACTGGAGATCACTCTCAAAAATAGAGAAAAACTATTCACTTTCAAACTTTCCAAATAATATCCCAGAGTGAAGGTTAGGATCCACTGATGTGTGATTAGATTAGATCGACCGAGGGAACTGAACCATCCCAGTACAAACACAAGAATATAATAATAATTCTGTTAAATTCTACATATTGGGGACATCACAGCTGTCTCTGAATTTAATAATCCCTCAGTTTTGGATTATTAAAATACTAACAGGCGATATACCAAGTTCCCTCACAGTCTGACAGTGTGAAGTGATTCTTTTTTGCCTCCACCTTTGAATTAGATCTTTTTATTTTATTTCAGGCTCTGTTCTCTCTATCGTTCTCACTCTCTCTCACTGTATTATATACAGCAGCATTAGTGTATTTATTTATTAGTGACATCACTGCTGTCCTATTAGACCTCTCTTCACCTCCATCTCACTAACAAACACCTTGATGTCAGTGTCAGGAAGTTTCACTTCATCTTCTCATCGCTTGATGCTGTGACTCTGTCATGAATCTCCGTGGAGATCCATTGGGCAGCAATAGAATTTAATATTCATGAGGTGCTTTGCATTGACCATTTATAGTTGAATGTGGGCGTGTTTTATAAATGAGACCCCAGGTCACTTAGTAGACCCATAGACTGTATATTAAAAAGTGGATGTAGCTTCCAGCTCCAAAAGATGAAAAGATGAAGTGCTTAAAAGTGTAATACTGTGAAGATTAAGCATAGACTGCCATTCAAAAAATATTTTTATCAGTTTTGAGATCACCAGGAGTAAAGCTTGTTCTTCAGTAACAACCAAGTGGCAACTGTAACAACAGACCCAGAGGAGCTGGTATCCAGTTTGTTTGGTCAGTAAACTCTTGTTTTCTTAACATTTTACAGTCTGTTGTAAAATGTGTTTCTATGTGTTCTGACCAGAGAAGAGGAAACTGGTAGCATGCTAGTTACTGTCCCAGTGAATGTGAATTCGGATGCCGACCAAGCTAGCTATTTATCCAACAGCTTTGCAGTGCGGGGCCTACCAGTTCCCTCAGGGCTGCTTACCTGCAGTTAACTAGGTGTTAACAATAATCTCTATATAAAAGTACATTTTACCAACATTAACATGACGAGGTTTGTTTCTGCCACATGTGACTCAGTTGATGTGATGTGAGCTGTATTAATGTGAGTTATTAAAGTCCATGAGGATCACGTGATTCAGTTTAACATAACGTTTAGATTCATTTTTTTACATTGGATTAAACTGTCGCATTAACTTTCTGTGTTTGGTTGTGATTACCTGCTGTGTGTCTTAACTCAGGTTAATCAGGTAAAAAGCAGTAAGTCTATGTAGTTATGTAGTTAAGCAGTCAGAGGATGCTGAATGTTTTGGAGAAACAGACAGTAAGTTAACTAGATTCAGTTTTATGATTTCTACTGGGCTGTGGATAAACATTTCTTGGAGCCAGGGTCTTTTTTCTACTCAATCTAATTAATTCTTCAATTCTGATGTGCTAATGTCTGATTGTTACCAACTAATTAATCCATTCTTTTTCTCTGTGCTCACATGCTTTTGTATGTTTTTTTTTAATCATCCATGAATCTATCAGAGTCAGAAGGACTGAAGCTTTAGTTGATGATGATGACGACGTGAAACAACCAGACCTTATCCAACTGTCAGGATGATATGTGTCAAAAGAAGGAAGAGCTCATGTATGGGGGCGCTTATTATGTGCCATTGTTCACGATGTGGAGGATAGAGACTGATAACGTCCTTAATTTTTGAGGGGATTTGATGATGTCAGTTTCTTCTGATAAGTTGACAGTACAACAGAACTGTGTATGATTCTCTATATTCTCAGGTTCAGTTTCTCATCTTTTACTCCCTACAAGTGTTAAAACTCTGATATTTAAATGTTGAAGCCATAGTTCATGTGATTGAACAGTTTGTGTGTAACACATGTACCCAATATGATTAAACAGATGACTTGCCTGGTGTTCGCACCCTTTCCTTTTGCCTTAAAATAAAAGGACACTTTGGTGAGTTATGGTTTTCATTGTCATAAAACAAATAA